CCCAAATGGAAATATTCCTTATTCTGACAGGACATCAGTGATATGTCAAATTGCCAGTGACACTGAAAACTACTGTAAGTCCACTTTAAATAGATGTCCAGAATATGGATCACAGCAGAAGAGCAACTACTGAAGTAATCTTACATATAAGTCCAATTAGCAAAGCTTCTATCCTCCTCTCAGTATTGTGTAGGGAATAATTTACTTTCAGAGCTCCTAGGGCCTAACTGCGCACAGAATTAACAATATGTTGAAAAAAATGTTAAGGTGTACAATCAAAGGAATGACAGAATGCTAAAAATCAATCATTATTAGACAACGTATTAGTATGCTTTAATATCCAAAGCCATGTAACTAATTATTTCAAATATTTACCCAAAAAGGACTACCGTACATTGCATTGTGCCACAGATACACACACACACACACACACACACACACACACACACACACACACACACACCACAGATATATATATATATATATACTTTTCTTATAAAGTCCCCACATATCTAAGATGTGGAAAAAGAATTTTGTCATCTATATGACATGAATCAGCAGCTATAAAGGCAGTGTACTGGATATGCATTTAGTGCCAGATTAAATCTACAATATATTAGAACCTGATATCAGTGATTTGCCTATAAAAGGACGTGAAGTATAAAGAAAACTTTAAACAAAACATCTCATGATTGAACATACCAGAGGTCATGTCAGTCATTGTTCTTTTACTGCTTATAAAAGGGAACACTTCATAAGAGAGCCCTTAGTAACACTCAAATACAATTTGCTTGATTATTAACGAGGAGAAAAAAGGAGGCAGTAGTAAGCAAATCAACTGAGTCGAACTCAAAGTGTTCACTAAAAGAAGTAAACTGTGCTCCTCATGACTGTATTCCTTTTGCTTATGACTTTAATAGATATAATCCCTTTAAACGGTATGACCTACAGGACAGATCAGTGGAAATTGCTTCAGAGGATTACTGGGCAGCAATGGAACATGAAAATGTTAAAATTAATATTAAAATTAATCATAGCATCAGTTCATCTGAGGACAGTCTACGCAGTAACACAGGGCTCTTAGAGAAAGACAGTGCTAATAGAAAAATGCCATTCAAACATTAGCTGACTAATCTTATCTCTTCCTAGTGAAATACAGTTTTGCAAAAGTTGTTTCTTTGCTCCAAGGAACTCTGGGAGTTTCTGAGGGAAAAGGAAAGGGAAAGGAACACAAATCAGGGTGGCCACTTGAAGTGAAGGACAGGGCTCCAGTATCTTTAAAGTTGCATGGAAGAGGAAATGTCAACAGGTACATTTTGCATAAAAGTTACCTATGTTGAAATTCCCTCTTCTACACAACTACTAAAGGTCCACCCCACCCTAAAATAAACTTTCCAGGAATTACTGGTATTTCCTAGCACTCCAGACATGTACTATGCTGCACACAGTTCATGCAGTATAATGTCCCTCTTGGCCTGTGTGAACTGACCACATCTTACAACATGCCCCACATTGTTTCACAATGTACGGAAGTTCTAAAGGAGACATGCTAGAGCCAGGGGTGGGGTTGAGCATGGTTCCCTGGTTCCCTCAAGACGGAAGCTCGAAAGGCACTGCAGAAGCCTCTGCAGTTGCTGTGTTTTTTTGTTTTTACTCCAAGCACCACACTAGCACCCGAGAGACCTGCTGGGAGCCTGCATAAAAGCATTAAGTGGAGGCACAACCCAAAGTTGGTCTCTTTTAGTTTTTCTCTCTTGTGCTCATACACAAATACAGTGATGCCCCGTATAGCGACGTTAATCCGTTCCAGGATTAACATCGCTATCCGGATTTGTCGCTATGCGGGGGGGGAAACCCATAGGAATGCATTAAACTCTGTTTAATGCGTTCCTATTGTGGAAAAACTCACCGGTAAGCAAAGATTCCCCCATCCAGCCGTCATTTTCGCTGCCCGGTAAGCGAGGGCAGTGCGCGAAAATGCTGCGGGCGGCCATTTTCTGCACCCGGCGGCCATTTTGGAACCGCTGATCAGCTGTTTTCTAAACATCACAATGGGAAGATCGGTAAGCGAAACGCTTATCATCGCAATGCGATGTTCAGCCTATCTAAACATCGCAATGTGATCGCATTAGTGATCGCAAAAAACACGTCACTATGCAGATTTGTTGTTAAACGTTGCGCTCGTTAAGCCTGGCTGTTTTAAAGAAAACCAGGTAATGCACACAAACATATTTCTATATAAGCTGTTCTTCCTTGAAGCAGAGGGAGGGGGGGAAAAAAGAGAAGCCTGGCTGTTTTAAAGAAAACCAGGTACGCATTTTCTTCCAAGCCTAACCAGGGCATCCTTCTCTGCCAGGTGGGATTTCTACTTGGGCCTTATGGGTCCAATCGAGCCCGTGGGCTGGAAGTTTCCAAGTCTTCTCCCATGCTCTGGGACCTCTGTGCTACAATTATGTATTTAAGATAAAATTTAATAAGAGGCATCTGACTAAACACCTTGAAGATACACCAGAA